ATTAAGTATGCATAGGTTAAGCTTTAAAAGTGCTTGCACCAGCAGTATCCCAGGTTGCAGATGTCCTAGTAGGAAATGATGCTGTTAAGTAGAGGTTGGTATATGTATTAGCATTGGTTTGGGAAACAATTCCAGAGCAGTTTTTTACGAAGTTGTGGAAATCAATGCCTAATAGGGTAGTTGCAGTTCTGAAAGCAAGGGGAGATTATACAAAGTACTAGACATTGTTAATTCTATGATTATTTTTAAATATTAATTTATTTATTGGCATTAGGATAGTATTGATCATTGACTTATTTGTTTACTCACACATTCATCGGTGCGTGCGTGCACATACTGGCAATAGAATCCTACCTCCTTTACTCCATCATGGTACTCTATGGTACAATCACTAATTAAACATGTCTCAGATCACAAACACTTCTGACAACTGACTAAAATAGTATGAAGAATATCTTCCCACTAGTAATATTAGTAGAATTAAAGCTTGTCATGAAAGTACTATTTTCTGGTCACTATTAGGCCATTATGATGTATATTAGTTCTATAATAAATTATAATATTCAATTTTAATTGAACCTTCCATTGTGATTTTAGTCACACAATTATAGAAGAGAGACTATGGGTTATTATATTATACCCAATGGATGTAGTACTGCATTAAGTAACGCTCAGAGAATATAGTACTATGTCTAGTAATTCGAAGAGAGTTGTATGGCAACACTATTCCATGCGGATAATGTCAGGTAGAATGCAATTGCATCCTGAGTGTTCCATAGGAAAACTAATATAACCTGATAACTATAGAATGCCACATCATATTCAGATTTGTGATTAGTGTTCTGAGGACCATGTATCTTGAATACTGGTGATATTGTAGGTGGAAGAATAATTTTTAACAGAGGAGATGTAAAAAAACTCTAGAAAACTTGTTCATATCCTTTTAAGTACCCACCTGTAATCCTTAAAACTATTACACATCTTAATACTTTTCACATATAGATTGTCATTCTCAGAGAGATAGCATTAATTAATGGATTGAATAATGTCGATCACAAGAAAGTGACACAATACCCGGATATGACACAAGGTGGAATCAGCCGAAATGAGGCGTTCTGTGGGTGTATAACTCCGCTCTCACATCAGCTAAGTGATCAATACAACTACTAACACAATGGTACCATCAAAGAAGTCTGATTCCGAATACGAGGAGCAACTACAGCAAGCAATGTGAGTAATTAAATCAGCTGAAGAACCAAATGTGGCCACTGCAAGTGAGGCTCTTATGGTCAACTTGTGAACACTATACCATTGACTTGCTGGAATAATCCTTGCCTGAGCTGCTGCTCACGAGGAACAGCAGCGCCTCACAGGGCCAGAGAAAGGCTATTATCAAATGGTGCTTTACCCAAGATGACATTGGCTTTCCACCACATTTTGAGATGGTTAAGGATATAGCTATTTACTTAAAATTTGAGCGAATTGGAGACACCTCCCCCTCACTTGACAAGAACAGGATCACCATGTTTCTTTAGCGGCACCGCAACCTAGCATTGAAGCTCAGCAGCCAGTTGGAGCGATAGCATGCATACACTAATGATTCGGAGGTTATACGAGATTACCTTTTCCAAACTTGGAAGAATCATATGAGAGCATGGCCTACGAGATTTCCAGATATACAACATGGATGACAAAGGATTTCTAATAGGGTTGGCCTTACGAGCTAAGGTCCTCTGCCAGTATTGTAGAAAGAATTCAAGGGTCATCCACAATGGGAAATGAGAACTTGTCACAGTCATTGAGACTGTTGGGGGTAGTGAAACTGTTATGATACCATTTATAATTAACAAAAGTGCTGGACATTACATGGAATGGTATAAGAATTTGATGGAAAAGGAAAAAGAATATCAGTTTAGCTACTTGTTCTAGGGCTGAACCAATGATCAATTGGCGCTAAAGTGGTTACAAAGGATTTTTATTCCTGAGAGTAAGGCAAGATGTGATGATCTCCCCAGCTCCTCATATTCCATGGCCATGGATCTCATATTATGTTTGAATTCGTATCTTTATGGTTTTCAAATAATATATTACTCCTCTGCCTATTCTCCCACTCGACTCACTTACTACAACCCCTTGATGTAGGCCTATTCAGCCCCTACTAGCATTTTTATGGCCTGGCGGTTGACAACTATATTTGCTTCAGTCAAAACCTCTGAGGAATTAAGAAGTCGATTTTGATTCCTTTCCTGACTGAAGCTTATCATGCAACCTTTACAGAAAACAATATACACCAATCATTCTGTGCTACTGGGATCCATCCTCTCAATCTACACAGGGTGCTGGGGAAACTCAACTCCAGAGTTTAGAAGTGGGGTGATATACTTAGTATTATACAAAGTCCTACCGGAAGTTAAGAGATACGCCACCAGGTTGTGGCTACAGGGAACCTCCTTGCTAATCTCACTATCAACAATACGGATTCCACAATTGATTGGGTCAAGGGAATAATGTGCTCCCTCGGCTATCAGCTGGAGGAAGAAATTGCTGATAAGAAACTTTGATATGAGCAAAGCCTAAGGCTTCAAAGCAGTGACAAGCTCGACAATGACATAGACTGGTGAAAGCTTTATAAAGCGAGAGTACTTGATAGGGCAGCACTGATTAAGCTACGCGATGCACAGATTACCAAAGATGTACAAAAAGATTTTCCAAGCGTTGTGAAAAAGGGGCAGGAAGTACTCCAGTCCGTGTTCGAAAAGAAGCTACAAAAGTAAAGCGCCAACCTCCTACCACTTCCACCTCACATCCTACACCAACAACTCCCCACCCTACTCACATGTAAACAAACATTATTACTATTTCTGAGACTCCTCATCTGTTAGTAATTGATTCAGAGGAGGTTTCTACCAAGGAAAGTTCACCGGAAGACATCAGTGATTCTGCATGGTCTTCAGTCATTATTCTCAGCCCTCCACCAACTAGGCTACCTCTCCAAACACTCTCCCCCCCCAGCCAAAACTAACTAACCTCTACCCTCTATATGATCCTATGCAGTTGCAGGTCTACTGTTGACTGAGAACCTTTTTTCAGAGTTGTATGCCCCCACCCCTACACCACTCCCACATGCTTAATCTAACATCATACTTTTTTTTAGTCCTTTCATTTCACTACGATACATTTTTGTTGTTATTTGGTTCACGTCGTTCTTCTGATGTCTTTCGCTATGATAACTTGAAAAATCATCTTCTGGGAGTGTCAGTACGCTTTAACATTTCTCTTTATTGCGCAATATAAGACTGTGTCATATCCCGGTCTTGTGTCACATCCCGGTGGGTGACGTTACCTGGTCCTGTTATGGTAGTAAAGAAGAAGAGGGTGGTAAGTTTAACCACAGCTTACAGAGGAGACCAAAATAATTCCTGGCAGTTAGAGAAATGAGGAAGGAATCCATAGTACGTTTATACTACAAAATATATTTCCATTTGTCCACTGTGATAAAAGTGAGAAACCTGACTGTGCTAAAGCAAAGCAAGGCCTAGTAAGATGGGAATGAACAGCAGCTAGTATTGTAAGATACTGGAGACCAAGAGAGGACCTAGAGATAAAACATATTAAAGGGTAGTGTAATAAACGTCTTCCAAGGTAGGAAGATGGATGGAAAGTGATAGTGTGCTCCCCCTGTAGAGGGAGTACTAGGCAGGCAATGTGGTAATAGTAGCACTTAGTATTAACTTGTTCATAATTATGAAATCTATTTCAAATAGTGTGGTTGTAACTGAGACTAAGTATATCAGCCTATTTTAGATTTTTCTTGGAATTATACTATTTGTAAAAATAGTCATGAATATAATAATATTATATTCTACATGTTTTTTAACCTATCCTAAACAGGTACTTAAAGCTCCAAAATCTTTATATTCACATCTTCTATTACATTTACTTTATCATCTATGGCCCAGTAGCATTTCAAGATATTGTTACAAGTGGAGACAACCTGCGGCTTCCACTGTTGTTGTTTGTTTGTTTTTTGACTATTTTTCATCAAATGTTCCTAACTTAAATAAACCAATCCCAGGCAATGGGATGGAAGTGACGATCTGGAGATCAAATGCTTTACTAATATTTGTAGCTGTGATTGATGGAGGATGAGGGTATGGATATTACTCGGTGGTGGGTTTAGATATGAGCAAGCACGCTAGGGGTACTGTACATTAGGGGGCGGGACGAATATTGGTAGGTATTCAACTGACATTATCGCTCTCAAGACAATTTTACACGATGTGTCAGGAGTAACTGCACTATCTCCATATGTATTGTACAACACTAATCTCCAAATTCGATCCATCTGATAAAAAAATATAATCTATTCCATCTAATCTGATGCATATATGCTGAACAATGCACCCCAGTGCAGTTTGCATCACCCATCTAACAATGTATCACGTAATCAATGACTCATCCACCACAGTATACAATATCAATAAAATGTAACTAAGCGTAATAATATAACAGGCACAGAAATTGGTCCACGAGGAGCAAGGGGATGCTAGTGGTACAGTACGGTGCGTATATACGCATGCATGCGTCACAGCCCATAAGCTGAAGAAATAGGCAGGCAGCAACTTGCCTGCAATTCTAAAGCTTGGAAGCAGGAGCGGGAACAACAAGTTTACTGATCCGATCAATCGAGATTTCAGCCCCTTTTTCTATCCTTTGCAGGAGGTTCATGCACTGATCATCAAAACGGCACCCCCATGAGGGTATCTAT